GGCACTTATCTGTGCCAGGTCCCTTATATCCTTGATAACTAATCTTCACAGAAGTCCCAAGAAGTTGATGATATGTTCAGCCCATTTTATACATGTATTTGAGACAAAGAGAAGTTAGGTAAATGTCCAACATTACATAGCTAGAAAGTGGTGGAGCTGGGATTTGAGCTTAGATATCTCCTTTCTTAAAGTCCATGCTCTTTTCTTTCATCTCCATTCTTGTGATTTTGCATTTGCTTTTACAAGCCAACCTTGGAGATATTGCAGGTTCAGTTCCAGACCTCCACTATAAAGCCAAATTACAATAAAGCGAGTCACATGAATGTTTTGGTTTTCCAGTGCATATAAAAATTATTTTGGAATTCCCCGGTGCTCCAGTGATTAGGGCTCTACGCTTCCACTTTAGGGACGGTGGGTTCAGTCCCTAGTCAGGGACGTGTTAAAGATATGCTTGCCATGTGCCTGCTGCATTCCCAGTGCTCTCCCCTGAAGTTTAATTACTAGTAGATAACATTTTCCCTTCTTTACCAAAATTTACCAAACATTTTGGAGCCAAAAATGTTTGGCTTCACACAGTGGAGCCCAAAAAATATGTTATGTTGACACTACACTGTAGTCCATTAAGCTCTATGTCTAAAAAAATGTGCAGACTTTAATTTAAAAAATACTTAATTGCTAAAAAAATGTTAACAGTCATCTGAAGCTTCAGTGAGTCATAATCTTTTTGCAACAATGACATCAAAGATCACTGATCACAGATCACCAATACTCATATGATAACAATGAAAAAGTTTGAAATACGGTGTTATTCAGTCACTAAGTCCTGTCCAACTCTTTGCAGCCCCCCAGGCTCCCCTGTCCTTCACTATCTCCCTGAGTTTGCTCAGATATATGTCCATTGAGTCAATGATGCTATTTAACCGTCTCATCCTCTGCTGTCCCCTTCTCCTCTTGCCTTCAGTCTTTCCCAGCATCAGGGTCTTTCCATGAATCAGCTATTGGCATCAGGTGGCCATAGCATTGGAGCTTCACTTTCAACATCAGTCCTTCCAATGAATATGCAGGGTGATTTCCTTTCGGATTGACTGGTTTGACCTTCCTGCAGTCCCAGCAATTCTCAAGATCCTCTCCAGCACCACAATTTGAAAGCACCAGTTCTTTAGCACTCAGTCTTCTTTATGGTCCAACTCTCACATCCGTACATGAATACTGGAAAAACCATAGCTTTGACTATATGGACCTTTGTTAGCAATGTGATGTTTTTTAATACTTTTTAATATGCTTTTTAATACAGCTTTTTAATATGCTGTCTAGGTTTGTCATAGCTTTCCTTCCAAAGAACATGCGTCTTTTAATTTCATGGCTGCAGTCACTGTCCACAGTGATTTTGGAGCCCAAGAAAATAAAATCTGTAACTGCTTCCATTTGTTCCCTGTTTGCCATGAAATGATGATACTGGATGCCATCATCTTAGCTTTTTGAATGTTGAATTTTAATCAGCTTTTTCACTCTCCTCTTTCACCCTCATCAAGAGGCTCTTTAGTTTTCTCTTCTTTTTCTGCCATTACAGTGGTATCATCTACATACCTGAGATTGATATTGCTCCCAGCAATCTTGATTCCAGCTTGTGCTTCATCTAGCTCAGCATTTTGCATGTTGTACTCTGCATATAAATTAAATAAGCAGGGTGACAGTATACAACCTTGTCATACTCTTTTCCCAATTTTGAACCAGTCAGTTGTCTCATATTCAGTTTTAAGTGTTGCTTCTTGACCTGTATACAGTTTTCTCAGGAAACAGGTAAGGTGGTTTGGTGTTCCCGTCTTTTTAAGAATTTTCCACTGGGAGGGGGAATACATGTAAATCCATGGCTAATTCATTTCAATGTATGACAAAAACTACTGTAATGATGTAATTAGCCTCCAACTAATAAAAATAAATGAAAAAAAAAAAAAAAAGAATTTTCCACAGTTAGTTGTGATCCACAGAGTCAAAGGCTTCCCTGATGGCTCACCAGGTAAATAATCTGCCTGTAATGCAGGAGACACAGGAGCCACGGGTTCGAACCCTGGGTGTGGAAGATCCTTTGGAGGAGGAAATGGCAACCCAGTTCAGTATCCTTGCCTGAAAAACCCCATGGACAGAGAAGCTTGGTGGACTACAGTCCACAGGGCGGCAAAGAGTCAGACAGGACTGAGCGACTAAGCGCTGGCACACACACACACGTGCAGTTGGGGGCTTCAGCAGGATCACTGGAAAGGAAGTCAGTGTTTTTCTGGAATTCCCTAGCTTCCCCTATGAGCCAAGGAATGTTGGCAAATTGATCTTTGGTTCCTCTGCCTTTTGTAAACCCAGCTTGTACATCTGGAAATTCTCAGCTCACGTGCGGATGCAGCCTAGCTTGAAGGATTTTGAGCATAACCTTGCTAGCATCTAAGATGAGGACAACTGCACAGTAGTTTGAACATTCTTTGGCATTGCCCTTCTTTGGGATTGGAATGAAAACTGACCTTTTCAGTCCTATGGTGAGAATGACCAAAATGTGCCAGGAAGATATGAAGGGAGCAACTGCTGTTGAAAAAATGGCACCAATAGAGTTGCTCAATGCGGGGTTACCACAGACCTTCAATTTGTTTAAAAAAAAAATGCAGTGTCTCTAGCACACAATCGAGTGAGGCACAGGAAAACAAGATGTGTCTGTATTCACAGCAGCTCTTCACTTCTCCCTAGTAAATGAAACTACCATCACTACTTATCCGTGACGGGTAAGAACACAGGTACATGGGGCTTCACGGGGGCCCAGGGGGCCTGGGTTCCACCCCTGGTCAGGGAACTCGACCCCACAGGCCGCAACTAAGAGATCACATGCTGCATCCAATGTTTACAGCTTCTGCCGCTGTACCTGGTAGAGTGTAAGCTTAACAAATCCTCACTGTATTAATTTGATTACTGTTCTGTTTTCATTTGCTCATGTACATACTTAGAGTTGTTAAATTTACGGATGTGCCAGCAATGACTTGTGTGCCAAGAATCACCTGTAATCATCACCAGAGCTAACATATGTTGATAAGGTGCTGGCGACTTCCATTTCTCATTACCCTTTCTGGAGAGACTCCAGTGGGACGTGTTAAATATGTGCCTGCCACATGCCTGCTGCGTCCGCAGTGCTCTCCCCTGAAGTTTAATTCCTAGTAGGTAGCATTTTCCCTTCTGTACCAAGTCCTGCTGCACACACTCCCTTCTGTGGCGATCATGGAAACCCTGCGAGTGGGCGTGCTCCTTCTTCGCCTCCTCTCTGTTTCGTGGCGTGGCGTCTCAGGCCCGGGGCTGACCGGGGCTGTTCAGGCGGTCAGAACAGAGCCCAGCCTCTGCTCCTGCGCTGGGTCTGCGGCTGCCCTTCCTCTCTGGTCTGGGCAGCAGAGTGCAGCAGCAGAACTGCACCCACAGCCCTCAGCCTAGGCGGTTTCTCACCTCAGGCACCATTTCCCTCCCTCCGCCCCGAGCAGCGTCCACTTTCCAGGGCAGGGCTGGGTTGTGGTAAAGACTCAGGCTCGGGAGCCTGCTCCCCAGCCTTTGACTCCCACCTCCACCCCTGACATTCTGTGTGAGCCTCTGAGAGTTCTCAGCTCTCATGGGGCTTAGCTCTGCATCTGTACAATGGTGTGAAAATCCCTGTCTTCTCTGGCGGTTGTAATCATTAGTCAGCTCTCCTGTGCACAGAGCCTGCTGACGTATTGCTGTGTATTAGTTTGCTCCGGCTCCCCTCACAAAAGACCACAGACGGTTGGTTTAAACAGCAGAGGTGTATTTTCTCATATTCTTAAGGCTGGATGTTCCAGATCAAGGTGTCAGGTTTAGCCTCTCTCCTTGATTCACAGCCAGTCACCTCCCTGGGTTCACACGTGGTCTTCCCTCATTCTGGATGTTCTGTGTCTTAATCTCCTCTTATAAGGATAATAATTCACGACCCCACCCCAGCAACCCCATTTTAACCTAATTAGCTCTTTAAAAGTTCTGTTTTCAAATATAGTCACAGTCTAAGGTAGGGAGGTTAGGGCTTAGCGCATGAATTTGGGGGGCCTCAGTGCAGCCCATAATATGGAGCGTGTATACCTTTCACCCATGTGAATTCAGCCACATGGTACTAAGCCAAAAGGAGACAGGAAACATAAGATCTTAAATAATACGAGTGATTCTACCCACCATTCCAGTCAATGAATGTGTGTTCCAGAGGGAAAGAGAGATGAGAGGGGAGTCTGTTTCACTTCCATCAGCATCGATTCCCCTGTATCCAAACATGAGCAGGTGTGACTCCCACAGTTAAGGATGCACATTTTTCATACACCTTGCCTGTAAATACCAGCCAGCTTCTTTGTCTGGTGCTCAACCAAAGGAGTAATGACCAAGGCTAGTTTGGACTGTCCTGGGGGTTTGTCTTCAACCACTTCAGAATTTTAGCAGACACTGCTGGTGGCCTGCCCTGCATCCCAGCCCCCTGACTACTTCCACCTCCTATGCTCGCCTGAGGGCACCACCCAGAAAGGGGGAAGGTTAATGTCCAGGCGGTGGGGGAACCAGGAGTCAGGAGGTCAGTGTCCCCACCCCCAGTGTCTGATTCTGCACTGTCTCTCATAGGGTCCTGTTGGATTAAGCCCCACTGGCCTAGAGCCTTAACCTGTTCCTAAGTGGCTCTCCCTTCCCTCACTTGGGCTTCCTGGAATCATCTCTCAAATTAACTACCTACAGCAGAGTTCATGTCTCAAGGACTGCTTTTGGGGGAATCCAAAAGTAGACAAGCACCTACCCCTGTGTAAGATGTTTCTTATACACAGCAGTGTCCATGGATGGTCCCCACCACCCCCATAGATACAGTCTGGGAACCTGCAGAATGTAAACAGTCTCTGATTCTAGAACCTCAGTTGCATGTAGTTCTCCCGGCCTGTCCTGGCCACCGGCCCTGCCTCTGTTCTTACTCTGCTTTCCTCTGCCCTACCTTTCAGGTGATCGAGAAGAACTTAAGCGGTTGGTGGTACATTCAGATCGAAGATAAGGAGGGCTGGGCCCCAGCAACCTTCATTGACAAGTATAAGAAGACTAGCAATGCCTCGAGACCCAACTTTCTGGCTCCCTTGCCCAACGAGGTGGCACAGCTCCGGCTGGGGGATGCGGCGGCAATGGAGAACAGCTCGGGCGGTGAAGCCAGCGGCCCCTCCCGGCCCCTGCCCGACGCCCCGCACGGCACAGGGGACTCGGGGATGCCGTGGGCCAAAGACTGGAAGGGCGGTAAGGAGGTGCTGAGGAAGGCATCTTCAGACACGTCTTCGTGTGCAGGCTATGAGGAGATCTCAGACCCCGACCTGGAGGAGAAACCCAGCCTCCCTCCCCGGAAAGAATCCATCATCAAGTCAGAAGGGGAACTGCAGGAGCGGCAGAGAGTGGAGCAATTCAGGGGTTCTTCAACCAAGCCACCTGGCATGATCTTGCCAATGATCCCAGCCAAACACGCCCCGCCAGCCCGGGACAGCAGGAAACCAGAGCCCAAACCTGACAAAAGCAAGTTGTTCCAGCTGAAAAATGAGATGGGGCTGGAGTGCGGCCACAAAGTGTTGGCCAAGGAAGTGAAGAAGCCCAACCTGCGACCTATCTCCAGATCCAAAGCTGACCCGCCAGAGGAGAAGCCAGAAGCCGTTCCCCAGAACCTTTTCTTGAAGTCTAAACCTCAGGTTAGGCCAAAACCAGCTCCTTCCCCCAGGACAGAGCCACCTCAGGGCGAAGACCAAGTGGACATCTGTAACCTCCGGAGCAAGCTCAGGCCTGCCAAGTCCCAGGAGAAGGCCTCCGTAGATGGAGAGAGCAGCCACCAGGCGGGAGGAGGCCAGGATGGGGCCTTCGGTCGTGGCTTCCCTCCAGGGGAGGGGCCTGGCCGTCCCCAGGACAGGACGAGCAAGCAGGAGGGGCCCAGCCCAAAGGAGGCGCCCTGCAGAGCCCCTCCGAGGCCAGCCAAGACCACGGATCCTGTGCCCAAGAGCGCGCCGGTCCCTCTCCAAGAGGCTTCCCTCCAGAGACCTGTGGTTCCGCCTCGGAGACCGCCACCCCCCAAGAAAACCTCCTCATCGTCTAGGCCCCTTCCAGAGGTCAGAGGTCCACCTCCAGACGTCAGAGGGCCCCCTCCAGACGTCAGAGGGCCGCAGCGAGAGAGCAGTGAAGGCAAGGCAGCTCCTGCCCCAGGCCGGGCCCTGCTTGTCCCTCCGAAAGCCAAACCTTTTCTCTCCAACTCCTCAGGGGGCCAGGAGGACATGCGAGGCAAAGGTGGGCCAGGGCCGCGGATGATGGGCAAGACGGGAGAAAACAAGGAGAAAGTGGCTGCAGGCCCCTTCCCCAACACCGACGGCCCAAAAGACTTGTACGTGGCCGTGGCCAACTTTGAAGGCGACCAAGATACCAGCGGCTTCCAGGAGGGGACGGTGTTCGAGGTCCGGGAAAAGAACAGCAGCGGCTGGTGGTTCTGCCAGGTCCAGAGCGGGGCCCCATCCTGGGAAGGGTGGATTCCTTCCAACTATCTCAGAAAGAAGCCCTAGCCGCCTCCTCTCATGCCTGGAGGTCTTGCACGTCCCTGCTGGCTTTACCCACATATTTAATATGCCTCTTAATTTATCATCCTCCACGCAGCATCAAAGGAAGGAAGACTGGAATACTGTGGTTTCTTTCCTGGGTGGAGAGTGATCCCTCCCATCACAGCATCCCCTGGAGGCTCCGAGGCCACACTCCTTTCTCTTAACATCCCTGCCTTAAGGCCAGTGGCATTGCCGCCCAGCAGCTCCCTGCCCACCCAGCAGTGGGACCCTGACTCTCTGAGGCTTCTGGGACCAGAACCCATCATCTGGAGAAACTGCAGAAAGGGTTTCTTGTTGCTCAGATCAGAGTCCTGAGAATGTCCCCAGCTTCCTACCCAGTTCATTCATGTCCAGCGACTTGATTCACTCGCCTCCCAAATGCCTGGTCCCAGAAAGAACTTTCTTGTAGAAGTCGGCTCCACTGCTGGTCCCAGGGAGTTGTCCTCTTCCCCAAGGCCTCAGGTCCCCGGGTCTCTCAGGTTCAAGCAGCTGCAGCTGCCCCAGGCATGGGGCCTGGAGGCCCGCCCAGCCGTCCTCCCTTCTGTGCTGGGACCCTGATCAGTTCTAGAGGAGTGCTGCCAGCTCCAAGCATGCTTCGCTTTTCTGCTGCAGACTCTTGTCCAACCCAAGGCATTTAAACAAGGGTCCCCAGTCTGCTTTTGGGGGGGCCTTTCACTTCTGCCTCCCTAGTACAAGAATCTCAAAAGTTTGTTTGAGAAAGGGAACCCTTTACAGGCCACGCGCCTTGGGAACTCCTCTTTGCTGAGTAGCTAATTGTTGCCAAACGCTGTACGTGGCGCTTTCCCTTCATGTGGAGCCCTCACAATAGCCCTCTCTGACCCGGTGTACCTGTTTTATAGATGAGGAAACTGGGGTTCAGTGTGCCCCGGGGCACAGTAGCTGGGAAGAGGAGGGAAGGGGGTGTGAGTCTAGGCTGGCCTGACTTCCATGCCTGTGCCCTGTGACAGCCAACCAGGCGGCGGAGAGGGAGATGCTGGCGGGCTGCCTGGGTGTGCGTCAGCGGGGCGATGTGGCTGCTCCCGTTCCCACCACCCCTCCAACCCCTTGTGGCATCTGCTGAAGGCTGCCCTGCACCCCCACACCACCCAGGGGCTGCCCAGCACCCTGGTGTTGCCACAGAGCCCTGCTCCCTGCCTTTGTACTGGTGCCCCCCAGGGGATAGAGCATATGAAGCGAGGGCAGCCAAGGTGGTCTCACATGCCAGTCCCAAGGGGCCCCCGTGGCTCAAGGGCCAGAGGCTGGATCTCCAGCAGACAGCAGAGTTAAGCAGTAGCCCCATAGGGGGCCCAGGGTCCAGGCAGAACCTCTGTCTCTCCTGCTGCTTCCTGCTGCTCTCTGGTCCTTGAAGAGTAGTTTTCTTTCTTTTCTTTTCTTTCCATGCACTCTGCCTCTCTGTGGTCTCGTGGGAAAGAACCCAGGGCAGCCCTTGCACCCATTTGGCTGATGTGGCTCACTGAGGCACATAGAGGCACAGCTACAGTACGGAACGAGAATCAGGACCCAGGGTTTCTGGCTCCTAGCCCGCAGCCTGTGGCCCAGGTTGCCTGGGCTGGGGTGGGGCTGGGGCACGACGTGAGAGGGCAGCACCCGCCCTGTCCCCCCTACTCTGCAGGACAAGTAGTAGCCCCGTCCTGCCCAGAGACTCTGACTCAGAGCCGTCACCTGCTGCTGTGTTCTTGTGGCTTCCTGGGGGGCTGCTCGCAGTGCCGAAGACTGATGTGCAAACAGTCCCTGTCCCCCCTACCCTGCAGGACAAGTAGCCCCCCCGTCCTGCCCAGAGACTCTGACTCAGAGTCATCTGCTGCTGTGTTCTTGTGGCTTCCTGGTGGGGTGGGGCTGGGGCACGACGTGAGAGGGCAGCACCCGCCCTGTCCCCCCTACCCTGCAGGACAAGTAGTAGCCCCGTCCTGCCCAGAGACTCTGACTCAGAGTCATCTGCTGCTGTGTTCTTGTGGCTTCCTGGGGGGCTGCTTGCAGTGCCGAAGACTGATGTGCAAACAGTCCCCTTCCGCCCTCCCCCGACTCCCGCCCCCCAGCCCCCGCCTCACTGCCACGTGGGCTGTGGATGCTGCTGCAGGAGAAGGAGCCTCCCCTGATCCCCAGGAGCATCTTTACCCCTTCCTTCAGCAGGTCCGTACATCCCCCACCCCAGAGTCGGACAGGGCTCCAAGCTTCCCTTGCAGCACCCCCTTGGCCCTTGTCCCTGTGCCCAGAACTCTAGTGGGGTCAGTAGCAGCCAGGGGCAGGAGGCAGAACGGGAGAGGGCCGCCCACCTCCAAGGTCCCCTCATTTGGGGGGAGGCCCTGTAGCATGTTTCCCTGAGTTTTTGACCCACGTTGGTCTAAACACCATTTGTGAAGCTGTTATGTAGGATTTGACTACCTTTCAAAAGACAGAACTCTCAATTTTTTCCCCCAATTCTTTCTCTGCCTTCATGAAAGTTTTCTACTATTTTGTGAGCGCCTACTATATGCCAGGCGCTGAGTATAAACCAGGCCGTGGGTGGCTCCATGCCTGGCTGTGAAGAGCTTGGGCTCCTGGGTGCAGATTCCACTGAAGGGGTTTGTCTTTGACCTCGTCTCCTCCTCCCAGGGGTCAGCTAGGCGGGAAGGACAGCTTCTCCCTTTCCCAGGGCAGAAAGTTTTCCCTGCACTTGAAAGAATTCGCCTCTTATTATTATTCTGACATGAACTGAAGGTACTAAAGCCACGCTTCTCTCTGTTCACCATTCTTTCTTGAGGATGCCTCTGCAGCCTGAGTCTCGTCTCTCCACTCTTCCTATCAACAGTGATGGCCCTTTCCCAGGCAGCCGCAGGGGATGGTCCCGGTGGCCAGGAGCTGGCCCTCACTGTCCTCAGCTGGAGACTTAGGTTTACACCATCCAGGACTGTAGCCACCATTCTGTGAGCCTTTGATGGAACAAATGCAAACTTTCTGGACCTGGAGTCGCCACCATGGCACCTGTCATAGGAATGGCGTGGGGTCATGGGAGTATCTGCCGTGCCGAGCACCGGGCAGGTTACCGGTGCCTCAACACTCCCTCCTTTAACTTCCTCCTCACTTCAACCCTGTGAGGTGCATAGGATCAGCCCCAATCTGCAATGAGAACATTGGGGTTCAGAGGATGAAGTCACGTGCCCAGCATCATCCAAACAGTGACCAAGCCAAGACTTGAATCTGGGAGTTTTTCTCCCCAGGGCCCATGACCTTTCCTCTGCCATCAGCAGTGAAATGACGGTGCTTTCAGGAAAGCAGTGACCCTCCTTCTTAATTTAGATTTTTCCTCCCTGGCCCCACAGTCACACATGTCAGTAGGTCACAGGCCAAATGCCAGTCCAAAAAAGGCAGGCATCCTTGGGATGGCTTTTATCTTCTGTCCTAGGGCAAAACTACAGCTCGTGGTAGTGCCAGATCTTTGGGAAAAACAGAGTTTTAGGACCACTGCTTGATAAAATAAGCCTTTGCTCAAGTTTTTTACTCTGAATTTATTTGCCATTTGATGGATTTATGTCCTGGTCTCAGGATGAGACTTGGGGAGAGCTGGGCTGCAGCTCAAAGCACTTTTAATGCCTTGCGCTACCAGAGCCTCGCTGGAGCCCTGCCAGGCTTCCAGTAGGTGTGTTATGCGTCCTACACAAAGCCTCTCCCTGTGATTGGTTTCTTAGGCCAAATTCCTGGCCTTAAAACATTTCTGGGCCCACTGGGGATTTCCTCATCAAGTAGAATGTAGGAAAACAAACTTGCCACATTAAAGGACCAATGCAAAATCTCCCCCAAAGTTTGGAAGGCCCTGTGCTTAGGCTGAGAGATGGGACATTCTAGTATTTACTCAGTTTGTTCTGAGTGGGATGGAGAAGAAATGGCTCCTGCCCTTAAGTAGATGCCAAGTCAGCATCATCAAGAACAGGAGTGTGCGTGGCTCGGCTCAGCTCCCATCCTCTGTTTCCGAGTCTCGGGCTGCTCTCTAGGAGGTCTTGCCCTTCACTTTGGGCTGTGACATTGGACACAAAACAGCCTGAGTCACGTGTGGCAGTCTTGTCCCCTCCTCGATTGTCCAGGCCCATCCTTCGGGGCTTCTGCAAACAGCCATATATACCATAGACCAAAGATGACCTGTCGTCAGACCGTGGGGCCTGAAAGAGGAGGAGGCTGGCTGGCACTGAGGCCTGAGGGGGCAGAGAGCCCTCCCTTGGCCTGGAGGAAGTGCTCCTGCCTTGGCTAAGGTTCTCACATCCGATGCGCCTCAGCCCGTGAAGATCACGGAGCTGTGGAGTTGCAGGGTTAAATCCAATGGGCTCCAGGGTGGTCCAAACCCAGATTGTACCACCCAGCCCCGTGGGGGCAATGTCTGCTTTCTGGTACCACCTTGCCAAGTTCTCAAGCCACCCATTGTGTCTCAGCATCCTACCTTCTCTCCCGTTTTTATCTATCCTCTGTTCCAAAGTCAGCCTTTTTGGCTCCAGTCAGGGACAAGGGACTCAACTTCTGCTGTCTTTGAAGAGACCAAACCCAGTGCCACAGCCAGCATCCTTCGCTTTCGGGTCTCCTATAAACATACGGAAGGAGGTGCCCCCGCCAGGCTTATTACAGCAATAAGCAGTTCTAACACAACTAAAGGTGTCCATATTTTATCCCAGAGTGTGCCTGTGTATGCCATTGTGCCCGAGAACTTGTTAGTAGCCACACCCCCTTCATTCTCAGGGGGTGATGGCACCATGGTCACCTTGGCTACGGCCCACATTTCCTGCTGCAGGAAGCCACCAAGTAACGAGGCCGTTTCTGGCCTGCCTTCGGGAGCAGTGGGCACTGACAACATTGTCCACCGCCTGGCATCTGCTCCCAGGATGACGCTGGAGATCTCTGGGTATCTCAGCACACCTCGTACCCGTGGCAACACACAAAAAAATACATGAGCATATATAATGTGAGGGGGAGGGTGAGGAACAATGAATTAGCTGTAGCATGTATAAACTATATACTTTACCATTAGACTTTTTCCTTTCTTTTTTTTTTTTTTAATAAAAAAGAGTGCTTGACTGGTTTCAAGCTTCATTGTGAAGATGTGTCTATGGATTTTATTTGGCTGAAGAAAGGGTGAGTAGCTTTGTGCCCTCACATCTTGGCCTGGATTCGAAGATCAAAAAACAGGAGCCTGTGTGAGCTCAGTTTGGGCATTGCACAGAAATAGGGATGACTTCTCTCTGGGCTCTTGTGCACTTTGATTCTTTTAACTGCAGCATTCAGAAACCAAGAGAAAATCCACCCCCTGCCTCCCCAACAAGAAGCTTTTTCTCCCAAATCTCCCAAACCAGGAGCGCTTAGTCACAAGAGTACAATTGGTGATGAACGTGGCATGGCTTCCCAGGGCAGGCGCACAGCGGCCCCAGAGCCTCATGGCTTGGGATGGGAACTGGTCAGGAGTTATGACTTTGTCTCTTGGGGGTCTCTTACCCATTCCACTCCTTCTGGTCTGCCTTGGCACTGGCACACTCACCAGTCCCCCTCTCCTGTTGCAGGAATGCCATGCCAAGCACGAGCCTGCTCACCCACATCTGCAAACACTCCAGGGGGTCATGGTGAACTTGGGGGTCCAAAACTCATGTTGAGGGACCACTCTTCTCCCATTCCTTCTCTAGTTCATGTCCATCTGCTC